TAGGTGGGTCTCATCAGAGCTTAGAAGCTAAGCAGGGCTGGCCATGGTTCGTATTTGGATGGGAGGCCACCAGGCTGGCCCATAGCTACAGTGGGGCTATGGGGGTCTCCGCCCCCTTCCTTAAAGGGCCAGCCCCACTCGTGGGGGTTTTTTTAGAAGAAGGGGGGAGGGCTGTGCGCATGGTCCCCCCCTTCTCCTCAAAAGCATTTAAATGGATCCTTTAGATGCTTTTGAGAAGAAGCGGGGGGCACCCCCTCTCCCTCCTGTCCTGCAAGATTTAAAGGGCCCTCCAGCTGACTGGCGGGCCACGTGCTCCCACCAATCAGCTGAAGGGCCATTTAAATCTTGCAGGAGGGAAGGGAGAGGGGTGACCGCTGGCGGCTGGGCATGGAGGCGGATTGGAGCGGACATAAAACATAATGACAGCCTCACTGGGTAAATGTTTGCCTGACAAGCCACAAAATCCTGGCTGCGGGCCAGACCAGGTATGAATTTAGTCAGACTGTGACAGAGGGAGGGCAGGCAGGCAGGAAGGAAGGGAGCCAGTGCTCAGTTTGGCATCACTTTCTTATATGCCCAGGAAAATGCCAATCACCACGTTGGGGTCTGGAAGGAATTTTCTTCGAGGCCAGATTGGCCCAGGGACCCTGGAGGTTTGGTTGCCTTCCTCTGGGCATAGAGCAGGGGCCGCTGGGAAAGCAGGGGGGAAGGTAGTTGTGAATTCCCTGCATGGTGCAGGGGGTTAGACTAGATGACTCTTGAGGTCCCTTCCAGCTCTACGTTTCCTTGTTTTTAAGACCAGAGGCAGGCCATTGCAAACCCCTCTGCTCATCCCTTGCCTTGAAAACCTCATGATCCTGGGGTCTCCGTGAGTCGGTTGCAGCTTGAAGGCACACAACTATTATTAATTTGGAGGGTAATGTATATTTCACCCGCAAAGCTGTGTCCTGTTTTGGGGGGCTCCCCATGACCCACTGAACCAAGGAGCTCTCGGGTTCAGTAGACCTCTGCCACATGACATGGAAGCATTCTTGTTCGCAGACCAACCACTACAGTCACGTCCACCTCAGTAGGCGAAGGCAAGGGTGCCCCTGTGACAATGATAAGTAATAATAAAAGGGTCGGATCCAACCAGCTTTTCTGCTGGAGAGCAAGGGTGAAGGGTTTGACCCCTCCCCCCCAAATGACTATGCCGGGGATCGTGGGACCTGCATGGGCAAAAGTCACGTGAGACGGGAGCGGTGGGGAGGGGGTGAGATTGAGTGATGAAGGTAGCTGCACCTAGAGATGTGAAGGCCCGGAAAAAAACTGGAAAAATTCGTGGGGGGAAACGGTTCCCCCCCCCCGGTTTTTTTCTGAAGCCTTCCCCCCCCCCCCAAATTGAAAAAATAAAAGAAAGAAAAATTGATTTTTTTTTAAATTATTTTTATTAGGTTTTTATACATTAAGCAACAACACACATAAAACAACAACCAACATACATCCCTGCACCGATTAAGCCCTTATTGTACACTTAGACAAGATCCACAGCACATTTTCCCACTTATCCATTTCTTATACCACACTTATTTTCTATACAACACAGATTAATATAACCATCATTCCTTCACTAATCAAGTTTTCCATCCAGTCTGCGTTGACTAAACCTCTTTATTTCTTTATCCTCTTGAGGTTAATTAAGCGTATGTCAGATTCCAACTCTTATCTCAGCACTATATCTTGTCAATTCTGTGTATTCAATATGGGGGTTGGGTTTTTATTTATTATTCTTTTCTTTACTTTTCTTTTAACTTTTATAATTTTTAAAATTTTCCTCTCTATTTGATGCTTTAATGTTTTATTAGTAATTTATTTGGAACTTTTTAACTTTCCCTTTTAACCGTTCCATGTACTCATGACTAACCTTTTCAGATCTTTTACAATAAATAGCAATAAGTAACAATAATTTTACATCAATTTTTCCTTCTAATCAAGATCAAGATCAAAATCAATTGTATTCAATTTCTTATCCAGGAACTCTACTCAAAATACAGGAGCTGCCTAGTTTTCTTTAAACCCTTGTGAAATGGCACTCCCCTTCCTCCTTCCCTCCCTCCCTCCTTTGCTAAAATAGCCCTAGTTAGGGTTGCCAGGTTCCCCCTGGCCACCTCTGCGGGATGACTCTGCTACTCACATGTTGTCTGTCAATCCCCTCTTTATCCCACCCTTCCTCCAGTCTCCCTTCCCTTATATTGACCTCACAACAATGGCAATATCACCCAGCCGGATGAAGGGAGCTTTGACTCTTGGAAGCTTATTCCCTGAAATTCTTGTTGGTCTCTAATCTGCTACTGTACTCAAATCTAACTGTCCCAGTATCACCGAGAAAGCGTCATGCAAAATTTAGATCTGAACATGGGTCTCCTCAGTTCACACTGGTCTTCATGCCATTGGTCCATCTACTTCAGCATGGTCTGCTCTGATGCAAGTGATCTCTAGAGACTCAGACAGAGAAAGATCCTTTCCAACACTGTTCTGTTAGACCTCTTCGGTTTAAACCTTTATCCTTTGGCATACAAAGCATGGTCTCTCTACCATCAGTCCATCAGTGTCACCATTGTCTACTCAGGCTGGCAGTGGTTCTCCAGGGTTTTATGTAGAGGATTTTGCCCATTCTGTGCTTTGTTTCTGAGCCGTTGGGCTTGTCTAGGGGGGTTCCCAGGCCACCCTAAATTTCTGGAGAGCCCCTTCCTAAATCCCACATTGTTCCACCTCCATAAATAGTGACAATGGCCTGCGATGTCACTGGCTCCTCCCTATGATGTCACTGGGCCTCGGTTCTTTTAAGGACCTAGCACAGCAATGCCTCTGGCCCAGCCCCCCCCCTCGGGAAATTGGAAAGTCTACGCCCGCCATAAAATGATTGATAGCCAATCAGATTTCCAGTAGTCAATCAGAAGCCCTTCTGGGCAAAAATCCTACTTGGTCCACTTGCTAAAAACACTTGATGGGTGCCAGAACACGTCGAGGACCTCTGAGTTAGATGTACTGCATGTGGGCTCTGCTATTGAGAGCCAGTTTGGTGTAGTGGTTAAATGCACGGACTCTAATCTGGGAGAACCGGGTTTGATTCCCCCCTCCTCCACTTGCACCTGCTGGATGACCTTGGGCAAACCATAGTTCTGTCAGAGCTGTTCTTGAAAAAAAGCAGTTTCTGTCAGAGCTCTCTCAGCCCTGCATACCTCCTCCCCTTGATCTTGATGGCCACTGTGCAGTTCTGCCTCTACTGATCTGTAATGTTCCAGGTGTTGTAATGTAATACTCAGTTTCTCAAACAAGTGTATGCCTGTCTGTTGGTCCACTTAGGAATCTTGATCCTGGTTGTGTGGTGGTTTGGTGTAGTGGTTAAGTGTGCGGACTCTAATCTGGGAGAACCGGGTTTGATTCCCCACTCCTCCACTTGCACCTGCTGATGTGACCTTGGGTCAGTCACAACCTCTGACGAGAGCTGTTCTTGAAAAAGAGCAGTTTCTGTCAGAGCTCTCTCAGCCCCACCCACCTCACAGAGTGTCTGTTGTAGGGAGGGGAAGGGAAAGGAGTTTGTAAACCGCTCTGAGACTCCAAGTGAAGGGCAGGGTATAAATCCAATCTCTTCTTCTTCTTCTTTAAGACAAGGTGTTCAAATATTTTCCAAATCATTTCTAAAATATATATATATATGGTATCAGATTGATCTAATTTCTGTGCACCGAGGACAAGCAAGTCCTAGGTTACAAACTGAACTCTCCAATGCAAGAACAAGATGCATTTCTTCCTTTAGGAGGTGCGATTGTCAGAAGAAAATAAAAAAGTTTCAGTCTTGTTTTTGCATGTGGGCGGGTATTCTGTTTGTAATAATCGTTTGGATACACTCTATTTTTAATATGCTAGGTGTGATCATTTCATGCCAAGTAAAAATGTCCATAGATATATTTTATGTTCCTAAAGTAACAGAATGACTTTCAATCTAGAAAAGACAAAAGAAATGCTAATGTAGCATTTTTTTTCAATTTTCCCGAAAATTTCCGTTCCCCCCCGAAAAAAACTGGGGAAAAATCGGGGTTTTTTCTGAGCTTCAAAATGTCCGGAGATTTTACATCTCTAGCTGCACCCGACCCTAACAGTTCCAAGTGCCTCTAGCCTTCCAAAGAAAGGCTTTTAGGATGACTGAACTAGCACAGACTGGGCCGACCAGTGCAACCTAGAGGGAGTCTGGTGTGTTTGTTGCTGGGTGGGTGATCTGCCCTCCATCCTTTCAGCTGCCCTCTGCAAAGTAGGAAGCTGCCGGCCACCTCGGAAGGGTCGGGACGTTGGTCTCTTGTACAAGGGGGCCACCTCTCTAAGTATCACACTTGCAAAGTACGGCCTGGGAGAAGTTGAAGGCATGGCGGGGGCTTGTCTGTAAAGGGCCAGGAGTCCACTTCTGGGATTTTAAAACGGGGAGTGATGGCGCTTGGTGTTTGTGTTGTACAAACCCGGCCATTTTACTGTGGCGAATGCAAGCTGCATTCCCACGTGCAGGCAGATAATTCGGAACGCAAAGACAGTTCGCTCATTGCAATTTGGGGGAGGGCCGTGGCTCAGCAGTAGAGCATCTGCTTGGCTGGCGGAAGGTCCCAGGTTCAACCCCCAGCATCATAAGAACATAAGAGACGCCAATGTTGGATCAGGCGAAAGGCCCATCCAGTCCAACACTGTGTCACACAGTGGCCAGAAATACCAGTGCCACCAGGAGGTCCACCAGTGGGGCCAGGACATTAGAAGCCCTCCCACTGCTGACACCCCCCCCCAAGCACCAAGATGACAGAGCATCACTTGCCCCGGAGCATCTCCAGTTAAGGATCTGGTAACAGGTGAAAGACCCGTGCCCGAGAACCGGGAGAGCCGCTGCCAGTCAGAGTAGGCAATACTTTGACGAACGAGGGGCTAGTTCAGTATGGGGCAGCTTCATGTGTGTGAACCAGACGTCTCCTCTTTAAAAGATCTTTGCCCCCTTCGGGCTCTTGTTGCGTTTCAGATCGATCACCAGAGCCTACTACCGGAACTCAGTCGGGGGCCTGCTGCTCTTCGACATCACTAACCGCAGGTCCTTCCAGAATGTCCACGAGTGGCTAGAAGAGACCAAAGTGCACGTCCAGCCCTACCAGATTGTCTTCGTGTTGGTGGGCCACAAGTGTGACCTTGACACTCAGCGGCAAGTCACCCGGCACGAGGCCGAGAAACTGGCCGTTGCCTACGGCATGAGATACATCGAGACCTCGGCCCGGGACGCCATCAACGTGGAGAAGGCCTTTACCGACCTCACGCGAGACATATACGAGCTGGTCAAAAGGGGGGAGATCTCCATCCAGGAAGGATGGGAAGGGGTGAAGAGCGGCTTCGTCCCAAACGTGGTGCATTCGTCGGAGGAGGTGGTGAAATCCGACAGGCGATGCCTCTGCTAGGGGGGAGAAACGATGCCGGACTTTACTAACCCAACGTACCCTGCTAGATGAACTCGGTGCGGCGGAAGGGGATGCAGAGGGAAGTGTGGTGAGCAGCGTGTCACAGTGCTTTGGACCTCGGAAGAATGGAACCAAGGAGGGAACAGGGAAGGGGGAAAAAAACCCTTATGTAGGAATGAACCCAGATGCATGCTTATATGGTAGGAGGTGGGCAGCGTTAAGAAAGACAAGGTCATAGAGGGATGGGGGACGCCAGGGAACTTCAAAGGCACCCTGTTTTAAGTGCACCTGACGTTCAGTGCTATGGGATGAGGCCACAGTATGAAAAAACCCATCTATATAATAATAATAATAATAATTTTTAAAAAACACATATGGAGAAAGAGGGGGAAATCTGGGCTTGTGTCAATACGATATTTTTAGAAAGACTGAAGGTTAACACAATTGCCACTCTTTTACAGTACCTTAATGGCCAATGCAAAAGAAAAGGTATTTACAGAGGCACCGTGGCAGTCCGTGTCTGTTCCTTGTGGCAACATAGGCTGTTTCTACTTGGGGGGGGTGATTTCTCCCCCTTGGCTTCTGAACTACAGTGCTATTTTCAAGAGCATCATATGGCATTGTTCTCTGTTCATCTTGCTTTTATGTAAACCCCCCCCCCCCCAAACACTTGCTTTGCTGTGATTTTTCCCAAACTAGGGCTTGTATTTTTTTAGAAAGATCACAGTCAAAGTACCTTGGGTGTTGTGTAGATCAGAGAGTGGATATATTTCACATTGGAGCCATCTTCCTTACTCCTTCCTCACACATACACTTTCTCCCTCTGCCCCTGGAGGGTTTTTTAGGCTTAAAAAAATAGCTAAATTGCTATAACATCACTACATGGCAATAATCTGCAGCAATGTGCTAGTTCCCAGCTTTCATTTTAAAAAGTCTCTTGCCCTTTTCACTGCTGAGTTATATGTGCACAGACTGCACATTTTCCCTTATAACCCTGCAACTAAAACTGCTAGAGACTAAAAAAAAAAAAAGCACTGAAAACTGGGGACTAGGAAGTTGTTGCAACAGATTATTATAATGCTCAATGCGATGTAGCAATTACCATTTTTTAAAAAAGAAAGCCTGGAAAAAAACCCTAGTGGCAGCAGTGGGGCAATGGAATGGCAGCCCCCAAGGACTAAGGCAAAGAAAGTCCTAGGAGAACTTCTGTGGGGATACTTCCTTGCCGTTTCAAATATACCTGCATTTGCACAGCAACAAGAACTACAGAGAGAAGCGTCTCCGTGCAGAAGCAGCCACTGATTACTTCCCATTATTTGCTTGTTTTTAAAATGGAGAGGGAGAAGTGAACAGAAACATTTAGGGTCATTAGAATATAGTCCAATAAAAGAAACACAGCAGATGTTTTCTTTATTGGGCCAGTTTAGCGGCTCTAATTCTGATAATCTGATGAACTGACCATTTCTGTTACTTCTTTAGCTTTGAACTGGCAATGCCGTTGAGTTCTGCATTTATAGCTAATTCAGAACAGGGGGGGGGGGGTAGAGAAATCCCAGCCATGTGAATTCATGCAGTTCATAGAAGGGTTAGTGCTACAGTCCAAATGTGCTCTTAACATGACACCCAGTTCTGAGCTTCTCATCAGGAAAGGGGGGGGGGGAGACATTAAATTGCAGACACGAAAGACTGGTGATATTATTATTTTTTGGGCATTTTCTTTTGGTTCTAGTGACAGCAACAGTTTGGAAAGCATTTTCTGCTCCTAGAACATTTTGTTTGTTGGCAGGAGAGAACGGTGGCTGAAGAAAAAGACAGCGTGATCAGTGAATGCAGCAGAGTAGTGAGGATTCAGGCAACAAGTGTGTTTATTCTGAAAGTAGGATGGAAAGACTACACCGTAGGGGTGCCAACCTGCACCTGGAGAGCTCCTGAAATTACTATTAATTTAATTTAATTTATACCCCACCTTTCCCAAACGGGCTCAATCTCCAGACTACAGAGATCAGTTCCGCTGGAGCAAATGGCTGCTTTGGAGGGTGGACTCTAAGAACATAAGAGAAGCCAATGTTGGATCAGGCCAAAGGCCCATCCAGTCCAACACTCTGTCACACAGTGGCCAAAAATACCAGGTGCCTTCAGGAGGTCCAGCAGTGGGGCCAGGACACTAGAAGCCCTCCCACTGTTGCCCCCCCCCCAAGCACCAAGAATACAGAGCGTCCCTTGCCCTAGACCGAGAGTTCCTATCTATACCTTGCCGCTAATAGACCTCTGCTGATGGACCTCTGCTCCATATGACTCTATAGCATTATACCGCGCTGAGGTCCCTCCCCATCTTGACCATCACCCCCCAATCTCCAAGAATTTCCCAACCTGGAGTTTGCAATCTTCCAACACAGCTTTAAATAAGGTTTAATTTTTCAGGGCAGACCTTCAAGTAAGCAAACCTTTGGAGTGAGGCAAGGTGAACCGCAGGTATCCTGTATATCTAGGGGGGAATCAATGGGTTCACAGGATTTCTGGCGGCATACGGATGAGGCTGTAGATCTGATGTTTAACGGGGTCAGAGAAGGATTCGTTGGAACAAGCTGGGCGTCTGGACGCAGGCAAGGGCAGAGGCTGCTCATGGACTTTTCGTGGCCTGGTGCTGTATAAGCATGCATCTGTTGCGAACCCAGATGAACCTGTGTATTTTCAGGAGTATTTCCATAATTATTACCATTTCCATAGGATCATTTAGCAAAAACACCATAGCTGTTGCTTTGCAAAAGTTCAGGCAGGCACAGACTCCAATGAGAACTGGTGCTTAAAATGGGAAGAAAATGAGGGAAAATACCATCTCAGAGTTTCAGCAGAAAAAAAAGGATTGGGAACAGCAGATATGTGTTTGGGCAAATGGTTGTGCTTATTGGTCGATTACTGCAAATTAGTCACAGTCAGTTTCTGGTTTGTATCACCAGGGTCAAATGCGAGCAGGGAGAAAGGGTGTGTAAAATGACCTAAAGATAGGGTTGCCAATCTCCAGGGAGCACCTGAAGCACTCCCACTATTAGTTGACCTCCAGATCACTTCATCTGGAGAAAATGGCCACTTTGGATGGTGGACGCTATGGTGTTATACCCCACTCCACCCCCAATATCTCCAGGTATAAAAACACTCTCACCCACAGTGGGCTGCTCCTATTTTGAGCCGAGATTATAGCAAGCTTGTGGTCATGTGACAATGAGATTTACAAGTGGCCTACCGTTGGCTGAGACCACATGGACTATGGTTCCACCTAACTTTTGTGGACTCACAGTGTTAAGTTTGTGATCAGTCCGCCCGTGACCACTTTGCAAGGGGGCGGTAGGACAAATATAACTGCCCCTCCAAAAAAACAGGTAGTTATACCAGTTCCTCCTACTTTCACTAGCGTCAACAGGCAATCTTTCTTGTGTGGGATTATAAAACTGTGATACCATAGGTGAGAGAGAGGAACTCTGCACATGCTCAGAGGCAAACTGTATCTTTTTTAGTACTTCAGAGAGGGCAGGACTGAATGCAGGGATCAAAACAGGGCTACGACTTGGTAAGCTGTGGCCCAAATTAAATTTTATCTACATCTATTTGCAAGCGCTCAGAGAACTAAACTAGAAATAATAAATTTCCTTCTTTTCCAAGGCTTAATAGGAAAATATGTAAAGTAGGGGTAGAGGACACGACTGAAGGAAAGCCCCTCGTAAGGAATATTTTCTTTGAGAATGATGTGACATTAATTGTACTTATAAGGATGTTAACTTCCGTGATTTTTTCCTAGCACCATTTCTTGTTTGCTGTTTCAGCATAATTTTGTGGGTTTTGTATTTTCTAAGCCCCCAAAGGCTAAACTTTTCTTTAGGGGAAAAAAAGGACCTACAGTGCTGACATTTCTATTTTCAGTTTTTAAAAAACATTTGTCAAATGATTTGCACCACTATCTTAAAGTGCAGCAGCTGTAATGTGCCATTTTTCAGCAGAAGTTAAAGAATTTACACATTTCTGCTTCATAAACATACCAAACAGGACTGTTGAGTGCGTGAACTCATTCATAATGGATCGTATCCACCGGTGGCTTCCCACCCACAGCAGGACCCTTTTGCAAGCAGACGGCTCTGTTTGGATTCAACCCATAGCAGGTTTGGTGAACACCTAGCAAGTCAGGCTGCTGGTTCCTCTAGCTCAGGAATAGCAGTGGCTCTCCACTCTCTCGGGCAGAACAGGGTCTTTCCCGACATCGGCAACACATGTTCTTTTTTAACTGGAGATGTGGGAAAGGGGGGGGGGGTGAGGTTATTGTGGAAGGGTTGCCAGTGGTCTAGATGCTAGCCAGAGAGCTCCCAGCATCATAACTGGTCTCCAGGTTACAGATATTAGTTCCCCTGGAGAAAATGGTTGCTGTGGAAGGCGGGCTCTAAGGCATTACACCCAACTGAGGTCCCTCCCCTCTGCAAACCCCGCCCTCCCCAGGCTCCACCCCCCAAATCTCGACCGTATTGTGGAACCAGGCCACCCCCTCCCATTTTCCGTTTAAAATATTTTTTTCCTCCCACACCTACAAACAGTTTGCATTGTTATCAAGAGACGTGGAAGATAATGGTAAAATCAGCTTAAACGAACTGTTGTTTGCCTCAATGGAAATCCAAATGCCAAGTAAACATCCTGTGATTTAGTCACACAAATTCAATTTCTATTTCAGATGCCAGTTTATGTTTTTGTTCTGCTTTTAAGAAGTCAAGCGAAGACATGGAAAGTTTGGTTGTAGTCAGGTACTTCCAGGGGTCATTTCCTGCAGGAGTGCACAGGAGCGGAGCTCCGGCAGTAAAGAGCCCAGGGGGCGGGCACATGCAACAAGCCCCACCCTCTGCTCCCAGCAGCCCTCAGTCAGAGCAAGAAGCAGCCAGGTAAGCTGCAGAGCCCCCAGCCCCGGTCCAAAACAGTCCAGTGGCACCTTTTAAGACCCAGTTTTATTCAGGTAGGAGCTCTCCCTCCTCTGCGAGGACAGATCTGCACGTTCCCCCCCGCCGCCGCCAATAGCTAGCAATCCAAAACAGTCCAGTGGAGCCTGAGCGGTGGGTGTTTCCTTCTGACACTTCCAGTGATGTCAGGGGGTGTGGCATATGCAAATTAGTTATGCTAATGAGTTATGCTAATGAGCTCCTGTACCTCTTTTTCTACGAAATGACCCCTGGGTACTACAGAGGATTTCCTGCACGTTGAGTTGAGGTTCGGTGAGAGAATATCATGAAGATGACCCTGAGTTCTGGCATCTCCCATTAAAGGACTACCGATCTCAGGCACAGGGAAAAGCTCTTCCTCTCCTCCTGACTTGGCAAATTGCAGCTTCATATGGCCACTGTCGAGTTAACAAACCATGCCCCAAAACAGGACGGACGAAATGTTCCCCCGTAGCTCTTCCATGATGTTAGCAGATTTCATTTATCCAATTCCCCACATTTGCTCTTTCTGCTGTATGAGATATTGGTTGAACAATATTCTGACCCAAATAAGAAGTGTACCGATGGATAAACCAGCTCCCATTTGGGAAGGGAGCAATCCTAAAGAGGTTTACTTGGAAGTAAGTCCCATTGTATTCAATAGGGCTTATTCTGAGGGAGGGGTTCCTAGGGTTACAGCCCAAGTCTTTCATTTATACTGTTATCGTGTATTAGAATTTCAAAAGAAAGTACAATGTATAGGAAATAATTAACTACTTTAAAGTAAATTTATATTCATTTTGATCAGGAACCATGGTGTAATCTGTTTTCTAATGCCTTACATTTTTGAGCAGCTTATACAAATAAGAAATTGGGGTGGGGTGGGGTGGGGGTCTTCTGTAAAAAGAGGCTTGACTTTCTAAGATGAAAAATATCTTTTTTTCTTAACTGGTTTTTGTGTTTTGATTACTGCAAGAGAAACTGGAGGCTGATAGTTATAAAGAGGCTTTTTCGCTCTTAGGTAAAGACAGACAAACTAAAAACAAATCTTCTGGTTAAAAATTCACAATCTCAAGTCTGCATGCTGGATTAAAACTTCTCAGAAACTCCAGATTTAAATTCTCGTGTACACTTTGCCTAGCTTTGTGTTATATGCACTGTACTGAAATGTGACAAACCTGCTGTATTTAGCTGTGTGTGGATGAAAATTATGCTTGTATCTAGCAAAACGGTTAATGTGATTATGTGAAATTCAAAACGTGTAAAGGAAAAAAAACACCTGTGGTTTCCTTTCCTCTCCTTGTTTTGCCCTTATCCCATCCAACGTCTGATAACTGTCTTGTGTTCGAGAGCAACCATGACAGAAAAACCCAGTACAGAGTAGTTCAATAATAAACATGGACACTGTTTATAACAGAATCCATTGGCATTTTTAAGCGAAGAGAGGAGCAAATTTCAAAATGGGTACTCTGGCAAAGCCACAATGAATAGGTTATTCCATACCATCGGTCTACGAAACCATCAGACTCTGTAACTGGCGGGGTGTGAAATTCAAAAACAAGTCATGGAATAACTGGCGGGGTGTGAAATTCAAAAACAAGTCATGGAATAAATCCTTCTCTATTTAGACCAACCAAAACAAGACAACACAGTGTGCAAGCGGTGTTCAGGTTCTCCAGAACTCTTCATCTGGCTAGCTGGTTTAAAAGGACCTGGGGGAGAATTTTCCAGGCCATGATCTAGAGCGGCAGTTCTCAGCCTCTTGGTATGGTGACCCACAAGTCCAAATTCTCTGGGCGGGACTGGCCCAAGTTTTTTGGGAGCACCCGAGGCAAACCAGGACCGTGGCACCCAACCAGTTCAGCATCCCATTTTCTACACTAGCTAACCGGCTGCTTTTGAGAAACCAACAAACATCACACAAAGGGTGCAGCTCCCCCCCCCCCACTGTGAACCCCACGCAAGCAGCATTCCGACATGCACAGACTTTGTGTATGGAGGTGACGTCTTGGCCCCTGACCACTGGCTCCTTCTCCGTGACTCCCTCTGATTCCGCCCACCCCAGATTCTGAGAAATTCGCTCTAGTAACCAGTCCCGGCCCCTGACCACCGGTTCCTTCTCCGTGACTCCCTCTGATTCCGTCCACCCCAGATTCTGAGACATTCGCTCTAGTAACCATCAGGACACATTTTACTTGATCAACATGTAGACAGTGAAGAAGAAAAACGACCCACCTAATGTATGACATTCCTGTTACCCAGGTCAGAGCCTGGTTTCCAAAAGAGGGCAGGGTCGGCCATTGGGGGGGGGGGCTGGCCCACGACCCACTTTTGGGACCACTGACCCACAGGGTGGGGAACAGAGATCTAGAGGTTACCTGGGCTGCTGCCTCCCAGGCAGAGTGCTCGACTGACTTCAGCAGGGCAGGGCGTGGCTTGTGTGGCGTTCTCGGAAGGGGGAAGCCAACAATGGAAACCATCCCATGAAAAATATAAAAATCAGTAATAAAGCCAGGTCTTTTAGAGACTTTAGGAGCACAGCTAATCCACATGTTGTACTGTTAATTTCATTTGCCCGAAAGGCACACAAACGGATTGCCTTTCTTCTGTAGCACCACATACAGTTCCACCTACACTTCTGAGGACTCAAGTCATGAAAAATACTTGCCGAGAAATGTGTATGACTTTAGAGTGGGATCAACAAACACGACATCAGGAAATGCAATAAGCTCTTTTCTGCGCTGTGGCTAAGGCCATCAGTGTGGCGCACCTGTGCCTGCCAACATCCAGGTGGGGACTGAAGACGTCCCAGAATTACAATGGGTCTCCAGGCAACAGAGATCCGTTCCCCAGGACACAATGGCTGCTCTGAAGGGTGGAGGCTGTGGCATTAAACCCTGCCGAGGCGCCTCCCCTCCCTAAGCTTTGCCTTCCACTGCGCATAGAGCAGGGGTCACTTGGGGGAGTTGGGGGGGGGAGCTGTGAATTTCCTGCATTGTGCAGGGGGTTGGACTAGATGACCCATGGGGTTCCTTCCAGCTGAGTGCTTCTATGATAAGATGTTTTGAAGGTCATCAATGCACTGGGTTACTGGAAATCAGAAGCAACTTCACAGCGCATAAACACACATCAGAAGCAACCTGACACCACATCCCCCCCCGGGGGGTCGTTTTGTAGAAAAAGAGCTAGGGGAACTCATTAGCATAACTCATTAGCATATGCCACACCCCCTGACATCACCGGACATGTGTCATAAGGCCACACACCCCGCCCCCAACAGTCCCGGCTGCCACCGGCGGCTTTGCAGCTCCACTGCCGAGCCCCATGAGGGGCCCGGCGGTGGACCTGCAAGGCCGGCGGGAGTGCAAGGAAGCCCCGCGAGGAAGTGCAAGGAGTGCAAGGAAGCTTCCTCCCTGCCTCTTCCCACCCCTGCCTGCCTGGGGCCAGGGAGGAAGCAACTTACCCTCCCTCTTCTCCTGCCTCCTCCTGGCTGAATGAGGGCCGGATGCAGGGCGGCCGGAAGCAGGGGGTGGGGCTTCGTCATGGGCCCCCCCCCCCCGTACCTCACCCGGGGGGAACTGCGATCCCCCCCCCGAAATGACCTCTCCCCCCCACACACACACAAATGAAAATTTCTTTTGTGATCAGTAAAGCTAATCGCATATTGTTGATACCTGTTTCCAAGTCATTTCAGTTCTGGGAATGAATAATGAAACCTTCCTTTTGGTTTACTACAAAGTCAAGGATCTGTTCATGACATAAGAGGGCTAAAGAAACATGATGACGTATCCTCGTGTGCAGCTCGGTTTACAACTTTGCTTCAATACATCCTTCGCATTAAAGCATCTTTCCTGGCTGGCAGCCATTCCCACCCCCACCCCGCTCAAACTATCCCAGGAACGTTCTAGAAGATTTGCTGCCCTGTCTCCAAAAAAAAAAAAAAAGCACAAAGGGTTTCTGCTGTGTTTTAATATAATGAAATAAAAGTACAAAAATTTTACAAGTATTTTTATTACATGGAACTAGAACACAGTTAACGCTAGCTTTTATTCTGAAGTGAAACCTGCCATGCCAGTTACTCTGCTGTGTAAACACTCCATTTGACTGTGTCGGTGCGGGCGGTGTCTTGAAAGGAAAGAGCGGAGGTGTCAAGGCAACGCTTTCTGCCAGGCTTTGTAATCAGCAACACGGGAATAACACTCAACCTGCTCACAACTGAAGCGGAGCTCAAAACAGGGGCTCCCACGTTCCAGGCAGGTTTCACCAAATGTGTCTTTGCCAGCATTAAGACGTCTGAACTCGACATAAGTGACTGCAGGATGAGGTGACCGGGTGCAAGAGGCGGATCACTTCTGTATGTCACCCAATTCTATACACTTGGAAGGGGGGGGTGGCATTTGCATGAAAACAAAACGGAATCAGACCGCAACCAGACTGTGCTATTTAGTTGTTTAACCCTTTCGTTGCAGATGGATCATGAAGAACCTAGCGTTGAGCTGAGCCAGTAACTGCTCAGAACAGAAAAGTGGGCAACATGGGAATCAAAGAAACAGCACTGTAACGAACGGGGTGTGTGTGTGTGTTGTCCCGCATTTCCTTGTCCCAAACATTGGCTCTCGCACAAGGTGCGTATCCTCTCACCATCCTGCCCCATCCCAAACCTTGCTGCCTTCTTTCATCAAGTGCCTATGATAATTAAACTAAACACAATCCCTTTTCAAGGGGGCTAGAATGTCCTGGCCTCAAATGTCATGAATGCACCTCACATTAGATTGCCCCGTGACTGCGACGGCAGGTCCCTCTGGGGCCAATTTGCAAAGCCCGCTGTGATGTCAGGAAGCATGCATGGAACCAAACTGGGCTTGCCAATAAATAAAAGGGTGCTTTGCTCACCAGCGTTTTAAGATTTGTTTTTTTTATGTTACCGACTGATGAGATTAAACTAAACTCAGTCCATCAAAGGTTGAACTTAAAGGTCTGCTTAAAATAAGAAAATATTTTTTGAAAACCAGAACCACGTCTAAAGTCGGGGAAACTATGCTTTGCTTTTGGATGGGTCATCCTTGTTCCTTCTCTTTACATCCCAATTATAAACTCTGGCCATATCTGGGAGGAGCTGTTAAGGAAAGCACGGTGCAGTGAAATTAAAGAAGCGGCCAACTTTTTGTCGTCGTTTTTATCTGCATCAACAGCACAAGGGCAACCTGATCCTTGGGTACACAAGGTATTTTCCAAGCCAGCTTCTATACCATACATCTGGAATAGAAAGAAAGGCGCTCCGGCAAACCACCTCTGAACATCTCATTCCATGAAAACCCTCCAGGGTCACCATAAAGCTGTAGGATGTCAGTTTAGTCAGTACAAGCCGATTGGGGAGTCTTTCGGCCAGCCGAATGTCAATTTCAGCCCCATTATTTTTTAGGGAGGCTTTAAAAATTAGGACAAAAATGAGAGTTCAAAGTTTATGAAGGAAGCGACCATGGAAACGCTGACAGTCCACTCACAGTAGCACCTCTTCAGTTACCATATGCCAGAGCACATGCTTATGTGGACTGAAAAAAAAGTTGCGCTTATTTCAGTAAACTAACCTTTAATACAATAGCCAGTGTTCCCTCTACGCTGAGTTAGCATGAGCTGGTTCAGTTTTTCAACCTCTGGCTCACACATTTTTGTCTTCGCTCAGGAAGGATGGCCCCAGAGCAAACTAATTTATGCAGCAGCCAAATCGCTCGATCACAACTTTAACGCCGGTAACTCACAAAGTAGAATTTCTGCTCACAAGACTCCGCAGCTTAGAAGGAGCATTGCACTAGACTACCTGTAAATAAGATTACTGGACCGTTTACCATAGTACTTAACAAAAGCCTACACAGAACCACTTGGTGAATTTGTTGTCTAAAGTTACTTAAACCCTGTTCACACCCTTCTTCCCCAGACTTCTGATATGAAACAGAAGTGCTTCAAGCCTCAGAGCTTGGTAGCACACTCTTCATACAGCAAATTTAACAAGTTGCAGAGGAGAATTACCCAAACCTCATTTCCTTTCCATAGAAAGCAGCTAATTGTTTCAAAAAGTACAACAAGCCAGATCTAACTAATACTGGCAAACCAGCCTAAATAAATAGGTATATATAGAAGTACTAAAAAAACCCTGGTGTGTTTGAAATGTACAAGTCTCGGGAGATTTTTTTTTTTTTAAATTAACACAAGGTTTTCCCAAGAAAAGCAAGCCAAAACATGCCAGGTGAGTCATGCCAGTTTTTGGATTCTTTCTTCCCTAACTGCAATTGTTTCTAAAACAAACCAACTCAAAGCCAGTCAAGAGAAAGAACAATAACATGAACCAGTCCTAAAAGAAAAAGGATACTGACTTCTGTGGTAGTGAACTGATCTCTAAGAAAATCCAGGTCTTCTTCTAGGGATTCCAGGTTCCTTGTAGCTGTGGAGAGATTCTTTTCCAGCAGGGCCTGGGCTTCATCGATATCATACTCCAGCATTACATTGGCCTGAGAGCAACAATATTTAAGGGTGAAGAATTTTAAGGAGTCACAGAAGGTTAAGGGACACAAACAGGACTGCCAGGGTTGTGGATCCATCTCCACCACTCTCTCTTTTGAACTCATGAAAGCTGTCTTACACAGAATAAGACCTTCTGGTCCACAAAGATCAGTATCGTCTATTCAGGCCGGCAGCAGCTCTCTAGGGTCTCAGGCAGAGATCTTTCACATCACCTACTACCCAAACCCTTTAAAACTGGAGATGCTGAGATTGAACCTGGGACCTTCTATGTGTCTCTCGGCTCTCAGGTTGAGGTCTTGCACATCACCTACTACCGATCCTTTTAACCGGAGATGCCGGGGATTGAACCTGGGACCTTCGGTGTGTAAAGCACGTGCTCTACCACTGAGCCACAGCCCGTCCCAGAGGGGCGTTATGCACTAATAATTTATTCTTGTGCTGTACCTGAAAACCAAGCCTCTTAAGTTTACCTCTAGCATTATTTTCAAGTTCTTCTGCAATACTACACTGTTTTTCTTGATCGTTATTTTGTAAATACTATAGCTCCTAACCCTAGTTCATGATATAGGAGTTACCTTCCTGGAAAGTTACATTATATTCAGACTCAAATGAAGGGGAAATGCCCTATTTGTCTCATCACACTGGCATTAAATGAGGTTCTGGTTAACACTAGGGGTGTGGCATTCGGATCTACACGAGCCGAAAATATACACAAAAGTATCCAGGATTCTTCCGGAAACCCGAAAAAAAATTCCCAGAAGAAAATCCTGGATATATTCAGGAATTACTGGAAGATCTGAAAAACAGCTGAGAGGCTAGCGCAGAATGCTCCTGCCTCTCAGCTCGTTGGGCTTCTAATGCAGTCCCTTTAAAGTTTAAAGGGACTGCAGAAGACAGCCCAAGGATCTGCTGTGCCGACGGGAAACTCGGGGGAAAACCCAGCTAGAAGACATACCGCTTCCCTATGAAAACTTTAAGGAGGAAAAATAAGGGGGGGGGGGAATTGCTTGAATACAAACAGTCACACCTTACAGGAAGCAAGATAAGAAAATACCACCACTAATTCTAGCTTTGGCTTTACTGCAAGACTATGCAAGAATATATATACGGTGCACCATCCCAACAGACTGCTGAACAGCAAGACGCCATACACATATTGATCTGCCCTCACAAACGTTTGGCAAAAAAGGTACTGTACAGTAAATTCCAGAGTGCCTAAGGATTGCCCTGATTGAAAACAGCAAAGATGCCTTCAGAACACACAAGGAAAAAGGCTTCATGAATTCCACATGTGATCAATAAACCAGGTTAAAACCCAGCACGAAATGGAACAAATGAAATAAACAAAACAATTCAATTCTCCAAGTGGATTTACGGCTAGAGTAATCCCAGCATCACAGTCAGAAGTGCCGAATTCTGTAATTCTTAGCCCTTTTTTAAATTACTTACTTACCCCCAACCAGAGGCACACTTTATCTGTAGGAGGAACTGATGCTTTACAGTAGAGGTTATCTGCCAATAAAAATCTGGTTTCCATTGGGTTTGTGGACTCCTTTGGAAAGAACAGATGACAAGTACATAAGGCTACAGCACCCATATACCAAAGACACTGCTATTAATATGGCTTCCTACAACCAAGAAAGGTTGCAGTCCCAGTACTGAATTGTTTACTTATTGCCACTATTAATGATGCCTTGTCAGATGCAAAACAAAAATTCCCACTGAGCATACCCCGAGATTTAAAAAGGGAGTTATTTTCCCTCTCTCCTTCAAAATGTTCTTTGTTCAGATTAACGTTTTTACTTATGAAGTTAGAGGAGGCGCAAGAGAACTCTTGAATCTGACCTGTCCCGTGACAAGATATTTAGAGCTTTCCATATCCACAAACACACAATAAAAGAGTCATTTACCTTTTTCTTCTGCATGTGCTTTAAGATTTCTAATGTCTGCTTAATTTCAGGGATTTGATTTTTTAACCTGTGAATTAAACACAGACGTAAAATATTTCTACAACAGCTAAATACGATCAAGTCTGTGAAAGGGAAAACACCTTTATTCCAACATAGACACACTAGTTCCAGGATGCAAGCAAGATCAACTCAGTTTTGGCCACTGGAATGTTGGTCAGAGAATGAACAACTTTCTGTAAGCTACAAACTAAACCTGTGCCCTTGAGAGGTGGAAAGGAAAATAAGTGCATGGAAAAGACCCATTTTTTCCTGCACACTCGCTTTTTCTGGACACACACAAACACTGTGGCGTTAAAAAAACCCTACTAATTTACTGTCTGTGAGATTTACTGATGTTGCGTCACGCTTGTTTTCTGATTATCTCACAGATATAGTTTCACATAGGTTCAGGTGGGTAGCCATGTTGGCCTGAAGCAACAGGAGTGTGCCTGCACACGATAGCTTATACGATTTCTTTGTGAGGATATGCATTATGCATGCATTATGTATAGAATAAGGCTTTATTTGTAGATTTGTGCTTACAAAAGCAATCTTCAGTTAAGAGAACGAAGTGTGAGTCCAGTGGCACCTTTAAGACCAACAAAGCTTTATCCAAGGTATAAGCTTTTGTGGTCATGCACATGGAAGTTTTATAGCTCAAGTGGTTAAGACACTGAACTGCAGGCTAGAAGGTCTGTAGTTCAGCAGTTCGAGACCCAAGTGTGCCGCATGACGGACTGAGCTCCCGTCTCTAGTGCCAGCTCCTGCCAACCTAGCAGTTCGAAAGCAAGAAATTGCAAGTAGATAAATAGGTACCGCTTTGGTGGGAAGGTAACAGCGCCTTGGCATTTAGTCATACCGGCCACATGACCACAGAAACATCTTTGGACAGCGCTGGCTCTTCAGCTTGGAAACGGAGATGAGCATCGTAACCCTAGAGTCGGATTCGACTGGCTTTCGAGCAAGGGAAACCTTAACCTTACACGGAAGTTTATTCCCAGAATAAAACTTGATTGGTTTCGAAGGTGCCACTGGACTCAAACTTTGTTCTGCTGCTTCAGACTGACACGGCTCCCCACCAGGGTTCCCTCTAAGCTGAGTTAGTGCGAGCTAGCTCACAATTTTTTAGCCTCTGGCTCACATGTTTTTGTCTTAGCTCGGGAAGGAGGGCTCCAGAGCAAACTAATTTATGCAATAGCCAAATCGTTTGCTCACAACTGTAATGCCAGCAGCTCACAAAGTAGAATTTTTGCTCACAGGACTCCAAAGCTTAGAGGGAACATTGCTCCCCACCTGGATCGAGTACAAAAACTAACATGGTATTTTTGTGAGGGGACAAACAGGACAAGGATCCTGTGGATGTCAGAGACAGGGAGCGTGATGAGGCAGGGACTACGTTGCAGACTCGCTTGCAAACGAGGTATATAAAATAGGAGAGAAAGGTTAGAACGCTGCTTCTAAAACTACTGACGATTCTCCCTGCATTAAAATTGGGTACAGATTTTATTCCTGCACCCGCTAATGTGCAAGAGCAGGGGGGAAAAGCAGATGAGATATACTTTAAATAAGACGCTCCCCTGTGCTTACTGGGCATGGTGTCTGACGAGAAAGCGGCCAGGCAGCACAGCGACAAAACAGACAACCTCCCCCGAGGTGTGTCAGGGCTTACTAATCTTAAACAAAAGCACAAGTATATTGTATGTTTTATTCTGCTGGCCCACAACCGCGATAAATTATTTGACTGAAACAAAAGCATAGCTCTGATTTTAAAAAAAGAAAAGAAACATCAAAGATGGGGGGGTCACCTACGAATCTTGAAGGGTGTTCATAACTTGGGGGGGGGGGAATGGAGAACAGTTGGAACTTTACGTAGATCCTTGTCTCAACTTGCAATGCCTTGCGATAGCCGGCAGAGAGTTGCTTTATGCTGCCCACCCTGCCCTAAGGACATCCCCCCAGATTCTTTTTAAAAAGTGGTACAGACTGAATAGGAAACAAAGCAAACAATACTGAAGCGGCTGATGGTCTTGTTCAAGAACAGGAGGATCGTTGAACTTATGCCTGAGATCTCTATGGTATGCACAGACGGTGAATATCAGTTCAAAACCTTTATTGGCATAGATCATAATCATACACAGTCGCCATTCAGTTCATGGATTTGACACACAGCTTCCTCATTATAAGGCAGTTACAGAACTTAGCAACCACTTCAATGACCGCTATATTTTGTGAAGCCAATAAACGATACAACATTCTGTCATCGGATTGCTTGGCATCATGCTTAAGAATATCTTCTAGATAGGCTGCCTGAATGTCATCATACAAACTACAATAGAGGAATACATGTTCGATTGTTTCAATCTCCTCTGAATCACAATCACAGAACCTTACAGAGTAGGGGATTTTCTTAAGTCTTCCTGCTAAAACCGCAGAGGGGAGCACATTAAATCGGGCCAGCATAAATGCTCTACGCAGCTGTGTGGATGGTGAATATACCTATACAGCTGCCTTGTACGGAGTGTTGTTTTTATGTCTTGTTTTTTTTAAAGTATGACTCGGGGGGCACTCGGTGAAAGTACAGCAGACTTACTTTCCGGTAGGCAGCTGCGTTGGTCTGCAATAAAAGAGTTCGATTTGAGTCCAGTGGCACCTTAAGGACCAAGAAGATTTCCAAGTTATAAGCTTTCGAGATGAACGGAGCTTTGACTCTTGAAAGCTTATACTGTGGAAACCAGTTTTTTCTTTTTTGTATTTTTTATATGTGTGTGGGGTGTGGGTGGGCGTGTGTGCGTGTGAGTACCTGGAAGTCACGCTGACCTCTGGTGACTGACCCCTACTGGAGGCCTGGAGGATATTCAGAGAGGTGGCTGAGTAAAGCCTGCCCCAGACTCCCACCTCTGGTATTCCAAGGAGGTCTCCCATCCAAGTACTTGCCAGAGTCGACCCTGCTCAGCTTCCGAGATTTGACAAGATTGGGCTTGCCTGGGCTATCCAGGTCAGGGCATACCCTGGAAATCTTGTTGGTCCTTACAGTTCAAACCTGTTTTTTTCCCTACTGCACACTAAGTGGGTGCTTGCAGAGTAAACATCAAGAACCCCCGGGCTACATATAGCCTGTTTGAGCTTCTGTTACTGCAGACAGGAATGAGGTTCACAGAGACCACTCTATGGTAACACATTCTTAGGAAAAAAGTACAGCACTGATAGCGAACAAAGTGTTGGTGCTAATTAGCTCCCATGATAACTCAGGAAATTCTAAGCAACAGCGTAGCCTCGACGAAGGCTACAAAGCTTACCTTCTTTTCTTCTGGGCAAGGTTAAGCTCCATAAATTTATATTTCTGATACTGCTCATCCAGTTTCTTGAGCACGATGTCTGCTGTCTCGTTTCCTGGCTGCTTCATGAAAGAATCGACATCTTCCTTCAGAGAGACACACAGGTAAAAACGTTGTGTTAGTAACTCCAGAGCCCAGGTTCGAGCAGGCAGGAGCAGTGAGGCACTGTTTCCACAGCACAGTGAAGGAAAAGGGGTTGCACTTATCTGTAACCTTCGTTCACCGAGTGGTTTTCTGTGCAGGCATACCTGGGGACTGTGCTTCCACAGGCCGGCCACAGGAAGGAGCTAGCGAGTTTTCAAAAAGAATTTTCAGGAGTGCCAAGAGTGCCCCCCCCCTATTCAGCACCGTGTTTCCGGCCCAAAGGTCATGTGATGTGGGAGGGGCGGGCACTCTTCCCTCAGTTCTCCCTTTGCCGCCATGAGACATGAGCATAAAACCAATGAAGAGCGCACAGCGGGGAGAGGAGGGAGGGATGTGTGCCTGCACAGAAGGCCACTGGACGAACAAAGGTTACAAGGCAAGTGCAGCCCCCTTTTCATCTTCGTGGCTTCTGTGCAGCCCCACGTGGGAGAACAGCAAGTCCTCTGACCAAGGAAGAGGGTGCGGCCTGGGTCAGCGGAAAACTGACAGTAGCTGCCTCTCTCCTGGTATCAACACCCATCGACTAAGGTCAGACAAATGCCACTCGGGAGCAAAACTGGGGAATTTCGGTCCACCGGGCCAGAGACCTGAGAACCAGTCTGGGGATCGAGAGTCTCATGCATTGTAAGTCCGTGTATAGATGGTACTCCTGAATAAACCAATTCTGGATAGGTCTCATGAACAATCTAGCATGTGGGGTGACTGCAGTGGAGGGGTGCCCCCTGCCACCTAGGGCAGGTACCCACTTTATCTACTTGCATTTATGATGCTTTCGAACCGCTGGGTGGACAGGAGCTGGGAAGTGGGCCAGGAGCTCACCCCGACTGCGGTGGGTTTTGAACAGCCGTAATGGCTGTTCATTGATGTTACTTTGCAGGTGTTCTTACTGCCTGCGCCACCGCTCCCTCTTGGCGCTGAAGCTAAACCAATATTGTATATTCATATGCGGTGCCTTCATGAATGACTCTAAGATATCTTCTACAGACTGTATGAATAGAAATGTCGAAATAGGCATCCTTTAGGTCAACAATAGCAAACCATAGGTTCCTATCTAATAACGGGATGACAACCTTGTAAGGATAGCATCCTAAATTTGGGCACATGTAAGTACTCATTCAGTGCCCTGAGATCTAGATCTTTTGATCTTATAGGATCTTTTGATTGAGACTCTGTGGATACATATTGTAGATCCAGAGCCTTTGCCATCGGGATAATCTGTTCTGAATAAAGTCTGAGGTCTTCTGCGGGGGTTGGAGTAGAGGGTTCTCCAACCACATCATCTGGAGATGGCATGGAGGTGTCTTCAGATTCGGGGTCAGACCCCCTATTGATGCCATCCTTGGAACCAGAGAAGTAAGAGGGTGTATCAGTAGCAGACTGGTGTGATATTGTGGGTTGCTTCTTAGTACTACATTTTGAGGAATGGGGTGGTATGTATCAAGGTGAAGGTTGGTGCTTGTCTCATGAACCCCACTGAACAGGGAACATCAGCAAAGCGGGTTCTTGCTGGGTGTCCCTTCCTACCTCCTGTCATACCTAGACAATGGGACATCCAGAATCTTGATGTCCAAGGATAACGGTGATCAGTGCCACCACCCTGATGGCAAGGGAGTCTCGGTCTCGAAAGCGCGTTGATGCTGAGTGGCCATCGATATCTAGGTGATACAAACGTCCTTCTTGACAACAATGGCATACGGTTTTGAGCTTAGTCGGGTGACTCAGTTTGACCTTGAGGAGTGACTTTTGGCGTCGAGGTGATGGGAGAGTGTTGACGCACAGGGACTGGTGGTTCAGGGGCGACAGCAACCTGCACAGCGAGGCACGGTTGGTATGTTTGGAATTTTTTTTAAAAAAACTTCTTTACTGGCAGCTGGGATGCTGAACTCCTTGAGTAGCTGAGGCAATAAGGGGACCAGAGTAGAGATTACCTACGGAGCCCTTGACTGTTTTTCTTTCGGTTTCTCAGACATCTGGTCCGAGACAGTTGAGAGCCTTTTCCCAAGCAGCTCCTTTTAATCTAGCTGCCCTGCCTTCCCTCGCTTTGGGCATGAGGTGGCGGCAAGACTGGCACAAGGCTGTGTTACGGCCTTCTCCAAGGCATAGCAGACATGATGAGCGCGCATCGTTTTGAGTCATTTTGACCCCCTACTCTCCACACTTTTTAAATAGTGCCATCCTCAGTAAATACTGTGGAAAATTGCCTCGTTATTTTTGAGAGACAGATTACTGAAGAGGTCAAAGCTCGCTGAGATACATCCTCTTTTAGTGGCAGCAAGAAGAGAACTAAGTGAAGAGTGCTCGCCCCTCCCACATCACGTGACTTCTGGGCAGGAAACACATGCTGAATAGGGAGGGGGGGTATTCTTGGGACTCTAGAAAATTCCTTTTAAAAACTTGCTAGCTCCTCTCTGTGGCCGGCCTGCAGAAACACATTCCCCATGTAGGACTGCACAGAAGCCACAAAGACGAAACAGTTGCTTCCATACCTTCATCCCTTCCTTAAGACCTTAAACGTCAAAAACAAACAAAAAAAGACCTGGGGTAAGTTAAACAGCTCCCAGGATAGTCATTGTTTCAAGAGAAAGCACAAACATATCATGACAGCACACCGTGAGAGCCAAGGTTAGCCTGCTCTTATCATATCGCAGAACCTAAGCAGGGTATTTGAATGGGAGACCTCCAAGGAATACCAGGCGCATGATGCAGAGGCAGGCAATGGCAAAACCACTTCTGAAACGTCTCTTGCCTTAAAAACAAGTCTAGCTTGTCACCTAGTGGTGCTTAATGCTAAAAAGAGCTAGAACTGCTGACTGCCAGACAATCTTCAGATCTCCTCAGATACTACACACACTGCCATATGATTATTATTAGTAGTATCCGTCCCCAGACCAGAGAAATACATTCCAATTTGCGGCGACCAGGACCAGGGCATTTTCGGTGGCGGCTCCTACCTGGTGGAAGGAGCTCCCAGAGGAGATCCAGGCCCTGTGGGACCTTTCTCAGTTCCGCAGGGCCTGCAAGACGGAGCTCTTCCGCCAGGCCTTTGAGTAGGAGCTGCCGCCACTACTATTCCACCATTGCCTTCTATGCACCGTTGTACTATCACAATTGTCTGGATCCCACTGGGGGGTGAGGCGCCCCTGGCATGAAGTGGATGATAGATTTCAGGAAGCTACCGTTGGGTTTAAGATCTACCCATCTTTGTTTAAATTTTTACTGTAAAATTGTATTTTACTGTTTTATACTTGCGTTTTTATTGTTATAATCTTGGCACATTGTGCCCTTGTCAGCCGCCCTGAGCCTTCGGGGTAGGGCGAGATATAAATCCAAGGATAAATAAATAAATCTACCAGTGCAAATTAACATGACATTACATTCTTCTATTGTGGGCATGGTTGAATGTCTCTTGCCTTGAAAACCCCACGGGGTTGACCAGAAGTCAGCTGTGACTTAACGGCACTTTCCACCACCACAAACCATGATGCTGGAGAAATACAGACGTGTATTGTAGCCATCGTATCATCCTCTCCTGGAAGAGACCACTCAGTCGGGTATGCTGGGGATGCATCTGAAACCCTAGGGCCAAGTTTCTCTATCCATGAGCTAGACAAGTGCTGGGGTCATGCACACCCACCTAGTCAATTTACATCAGAAAATATTCATAAGAATGCAAGACCAAAAACCTATCTGTTTCCAACAGCAGCCAGCTAGCTGGACAACCACTTCTGGACACTCACAGGCCGGCCGGCCACAAAGACATCTCTCCTGTTGTTTCTCCCAGGCATCCAGAAATCTGAAACTACTACTACTGAACACTTACCTATCTTTCCCAATTGTCACTGATAACTTTGTGAGCGGAACATCACATCTTGTATTGGTGATGTTGTAGAAGAAGAAGAGGAGGAGGAGGAGGAGATTGGATTTATACCCCGTCCTTCACTACCCAAGGGAGCCTCAGAGCGGCTTACAAAGCTCCTTTCCCTTCCCCTCCCTACAACAGACACCCTGTGAGGTAGGTGGGGCTGAGAGAACTCTGACAGAAACGTCTCTTTTTTCAAGAACAGCTCCGCCAGAACTATGGCTTGCCCAAGGTCATCCAGCCAGGTGCAAGTGGAGGAGTGGGGAATCAAACCCGGTTCTCCCAGATTAGAGTCCGTGCACTTAACCACTACACCAAATTGACTCGTGTACACAGAGATAATTTCATGTTACTTTCTTTAAAAAAAAAAAAAAAAGTAATCTACTTCCTAGGTTCAATCCCTGGCATCTCCAGTTAAAAGGATCAGGCAATAAGTGACATGAAAGACTTCTGCCTGAGACCCTGGAGGGCGGCTGCCAGTCAAGAGTAAACAGTACTGACCTTGACAAACCAGTGGTCTGACTCAGTATAAAGCCAAGTGTGCAAGAGCTAGAAGGCACCTTTGTATATTTAAAAAATGAGCCTCTAGGGAGGTGTCGGCCCTGCCACATTGCCAGACCCGAGAAGCAACTAGATGACCTCCAGTTACAGCACAGAAGATGGAATGGGGATGAAAGAGCTACTCGGTAATTCCATTAGATTATTTGTCACATTTGTGACCAATTGGCTGTAATAAGCATTATTTTTATGCCACTAACATGGAAACTGAGACATGACCAAGCTTTAAAAGCACTGGCTTATGCCAGGATTAGGCAAGGAAGCTACTGAAGGCTTATATCCACTGCACCTTCTCTCTCTTTCACCCGTGTGGCCTGCACCACGAACAAACTGAAATCCAAGTTATCAAAAGATCTACCACCTTTAATTTGTATCCCTTAAAAACAGTCAGTGGAATCCCTGAATGTTTTGAGCAAAATGAGGTATATTTGCTGACATATATTCTAACTTCGGCTAGAATATTAATAGCTAAGTATTGGAAATCTGAAAAATTACCCTCAAGAGATGAAATTGCACAGAAACTGTTAGATATTGCAGAGATGGACAAATTAGATATGTTGATTCATGGAAAAGATGAAAAGATATTCCAAAAACGATGGTTAAGAGTTTACAAATGATTGGAAGAAAAATCGGTATAACTGACTCCAAGTATGTAAATTCAATTCATAAGTACATGGGCTGTAAATTTGGAAAAACTTATAAATCTTTTTTTAAAAAGTCAGTGGAAAGAAAAAAGTATGTATTAATATAACTACAGAGAACTTTCATAATTATGTATGTGGTTTTTGCAAAATTTATTAGCCACCTTAGTAGCCCTTTTGATGGCAGGGAGGCAAGGTATACATTTTGTAAATACATAATAAAATGCACACAGTTCCTCAGAGAAAACAACTGCAGCCAAACACCAACACCAGAGGTGAAAGTTCTACAGAGCTTCCATTTAAATTCTATTTTTAAAAATATGGTCTGCATGGCTCCACCAGCACATTTTCCTAGGGTCTTGTATGGGGTCTTTCCAATACGCTTCCTACTAAGTTAACTGCATCCTTTCCTCAAACAATGTCCCTCAGAACTTGCTCTCTATCGCCTTCTTAAGACACAAGACAAAAGACTAATTCTATGAATTACTGTTCTTATCATTGGCATTAATCACTCAACTACATCAGAAAAGAACTCACACGCCAGATTTGCCTCTGCAAATGCTGATGCTAAATGTGTATTAATCCCTGAATATTCAGCAAAAAAACCACCCTGTTATCTGTATTTGGCGGGCAATATTTGATAGCTAGCATATGTTACTATGATACTATGATACTCCTTGCAGACTGCTCCAATGAGCCCACCTCTACAGTGGCCAAATTCTGTGCTGAGATTTTGTCCGTAAGAAAGCAGATATTCCAAGCTTTTTAATAACTTTTGCATATAATTAATTACAGCACAATAAGGCTATGCATTTTAATCTCTGTATATCAATTTTACATTTGTATGTAAACAGTGCTGTTACATTGTTGTTGACTGATCTTGATTGTAATTAATTTCTATCCTAAATCTACCACCAGTAATTTCTGGTCTTGAGAGAAAGACACAACCCACACAGTATGTATAGTTTATATACTACCATGTGTTCTGTCTAAATAGACCCCAAACACTATTGCTTATGAGCCACATGGTTGGCCTGCAGCAGGTCCAGGATTCGATCCTTGGAATACCTTGTGTAAAAAGATCTCAGACAGCAGGACTGGGAATGACATTCCTCTGCTTAAGACCCTGGAGAACTGTTGCAAGTTCAAGAAGGCAATACAGCATTAGCTAAAACAACAGACTGACAGACAGAGCCAGACATACATCCAAGTGTATCAAAAAGACAGTAGTAACTCAGAGCCCAGGTTACGGCCCTGGCCCCTTTAGCTAAAGTTATCTCAGAAAGCCAATGCTGAGAAAGCTCTTTTGCTATCTGGAACCAAAGAGAACTGCTGCTGGTCAGAGAGCAGACAATACAAGCTAAACAGACTAACAGCCTGAACACAGCAGATTCACAAGCCATTCCTGCAAGAAAAGGTGCTCCCAAGCTCTCTATTATCCTGGCAGGCTCTTTGTGCTCCTTTCCCAGTTCATTTTCTTAAACACTGTATTCCAAGTGCCACCACACGGGTTTTACAATACTAGCAGCTTTAATGAGGCATGTGCTAGTGGTGGGTGGTGGTGGTGTGTGAACAGGATATAGATGTTCTAAGTATAAATATTTCCGAGCTTTCCCCCCCTAAGATGCTGAACTAGACAGGCTTTCCTGTGACACAACAAGGCCAATAATTTCCCCCGACCGTCCCTCTGATCCTCACAACACCCCTGTAAAGCAGGTCAGGCTGAGGAGCAGTGTTCCCTCTAAGCTGAGTCAGTGTGCGCTAGCTCTCAGTTTTTGAGCCTCCGGCTCACACACGTTTGTCTCCGCTCAGGAAGGAGGGCTCCAGAGCAAACAAATTTATGCAGGAGCCCGATCGCTCGCTCACGACTTTAATGCCAGCAGCTCACAAAGTAGAATTTTTGCTCACAAGGCTCCACAGCTGAGAGGGAGCACTGGCTGAGAGCCTGAGCGGCCCAAGGTCGCCCGATGAGTTTCGCGGCTGAATGTGGATTCGAACCCAGACCTCCTTGGCCGGATCGCCGCAGCACGTGACTTACCTCCCGTGCCCCTCCCAGGCAGGCAGGCAGGCAGGTTCGCTCCCGGGGCCACCACTCCGAAACCAAACACAATCGCAGCTCTCTCC